CAGTTCCCTCAGGACTCTGGGGTACATTTTGTCAGGTCCCACAGACTTACGTGTGTTCAGGTTCCTCAGGTGGCCCACAAAAGTGATTTTTTTCTCACAGTGGGAGGGACTTTGCTCCCCCAGTCCCCAGCTTGTGGTCCACCAGCTTGAGAGGTGTGGGAGGGAAGGTTGCCAGTGAAGACTAAGGCAAAAAAAGTTGTTGAGTACCTCATCCATTATTACCAGCTTGCCAGTCTTGCTCATCAAGGGGAGTAAACTTTGTCCTTATCTAGCTGACACATCTGTAGAAGCCCTTCTTATTATTCTTTGTATCCCTTGCCAAATTCAGCTTCAGCTGCTCCTTGGCCTTCCTGACCCCATCCCTACACACCCAGGCAGTGTCCCTCTGCTCTTCCCAGGATTCCTGTCCCTGCTTCCACTGCCTGTGCCTTCCCTTCTTGCCCTGTCCTTTGAGCAGCAGGGCTCAGCTCAGCCATGCTGGGCTCTTGGTTTCTCCTCCCCTGATTTCTTACACTTAAGGATCAAGAGCTTTTGGGCTCTCTGGAAAGTGCCCTGAAAGATCTGCCAGCTCTGTTGTTGCTCTGCAAAGAAACAGCAACCCTGTGGTTTGATGATAGCACAACCACATGTGAAATAATTTTCTCTTACTTTGTTAAGGGTGTTCCTGTGTAACAAAGTTAAGAGCAGAAAAAGGTGTATGAGGTGATGTAGTTCATCTTCTGCCAGATGAGCAGTGCTCACTGCTGTGCTGTTGTTCTGAGCTTCATCCAGGTTAGGTTCAAATGAAGAACAGACCACGTTTAGGAGATCACAGTGTGGATACTTTAAAGCTACTTGAGTCTTTATCCCCTGCTGATTTTTGCTAGGAATTAGATGTCTGGGCTTTAATAAAAATCTGGCATGAAGAAAACAACTCTCATATACTAACTCTGTGTTCTGCTACACTGCAGTTGATTTAACCCAGCTCATCTACTCAGGGAGAAATACAAAAGTGGAAAAAAAGCCAAAGCTATCATGATTTTAATTATTTGAACCAGAAGACCTTTTGGTGTACCAGTCCTTGACTTGAAAAATTTTAGCTGTGCTAGGACCACGTTGAGCTAATTATGTAAGGAGATAATGGGTATCACCTTACTCCCCAAATGAGCTGCCTGTAACACAGAAGGGAAAATAATCTTTGAGAAGTCATGTTTTTACTGCCTGTCTGGTGAGATGGGTGTGGACATAACCTTCATTACAGTGTCCCACCAGCAGAAGATCCAGCCCAGCTGGGTTGTGTGCCTGTCCTAGAGACCCTCCTTCAGTCTTCTGGAGGGGTTTGCTTTTGGGAATCACAGCATAACAGGATTCACATTTGGCAGGGACACTCTGTCAGATCAAAAGGGTGCAGCTGGGGAGATAAAGGTCAAAGAAAATGATCAAATATGTAAATTTAGTTAGGGCAATTGGAGTGCTTGCTGATTGTGAGGGAGAGAAGGTCATTGGTGTTGCTTGACTCTTGCCTTAGCTGGGGTCGTATCAGTTTGATTCAGAAGCATTTGCAGGAGAGGGAATTAAACTCTGTGGAGCAGGACCAGAAATAGAAATAATATTTTAAAAGCAGGGAGAGCAACAAAGGTCAGCTTGACTCTGCACCTAAATTTGGCAGCAGGGTGCAGAGCTCAGGCTGTCAGACATCTGAAGAACTCATTTGTTTGAGGAGCTACCTGAGCTGTTGATTGAGCTGATGCGTTCCTCTGCTGGTTTGTGTTCCCTTTCAAGGCACAATGTGCTATTTTGGCACTTTTCAACACAGATGCAATGCTCTGTGGTTTTATAATAAGAGGCTAATGGAAGCTTTACATTTAAAAAAATAATAATTAAAAAAAAATCTACTTAACAGGACAAAAAAAGCTTTTCTGACTTGTCTTCAGTGGAGAATTTGCTATGAAAATTTCCAAAGTCTGAAATGTATCTGGTGGGTTATAGATGGGCAAGATTTTTATCAATGTTTTTATGGTTCTTTTAAAGGTCAAGAAATGTCATAAGAAAAGATTGAAAGCCTTTCATGTAAATGAGTCCTGGAATGCATCCAGGTGGCTTTTATCTCCTGGTTTCAAGTTTGGGGGTTTTTTTTAATTATTTTTTAAAGAGCTGGAGGCAGCAAAGCTACTTTTACTTCAGAACAACAGGAATGTGGGGAGAAGGAGGAGCCAGAGGACTGAAAAAGGGCTTGGTGACAGTTTAATTTTAGGTGGAATGCATATGCCTCCATGTTAAAAGGATTCTGTTTGTCTTTGGCTAGAGCCTACAAGATCACACTAACCAGTTGACCAGCTTGAGGATGTTATCAGGGAGGACCAAAAATGATGTTTTGCTACCTCTGAGATTGTAATACTGGGTAATTGAAAACAAAAGGCCTGGTGATGTTTGAAACATTCACACTTTGAATAAAATCTGGGAGGCTGACACAATCATGAGTGAGTTAGAGAGAAGAGGGGAAAGGAGAGAGAGCAGCAAGTGATTAAGTTATCAAATAAAGTCAATGAATTTTCCCCCCTCCCTTTTCTTCTCTCTGACCTGAAGTCAATACAAAATACTGTCTGTGTTTGGGCTTTTTCTTACAAACTGGTGTGAATTTATTTATGTTTCATATCAGAGTCTTCTAAGTAGTAAAACTTGACAGATGAGGAGATTGCAGAGTGCCTCTGCCATGGCCTCCTTGGCTGGGTGCCAGGGTGGCCTCTTCCTCCTGCACTCATGAAGTTCCAACAACAGGTTTAGGCAAAATGAACAACTCCTGTGTGCATTTTTGTTGTTGTTGGAATGGTTCCTTACCTGGATGATCCTTCTGGTGTTTTAATTTCATGCATTTATTTTCTTGATTCTCCCAGGCACTTTGCCTCTCTTAGGCTACCTGTTTCCAGAGTATCTGGCCAGCATCCAGCCAGCAGAGGCAACATCTAGTTGGGTAGTTCTGCCATGGTGCCAGTGTCCTTTCAGAAGCACTCTGAATGAAAAGAATTTAAAAAACTTCATTATCTTTCTCTGAAACTAAATTGAGAATAAATTTGACATGTCTTTAACTTCCCTTGACATAGCAGAAAGTCTGAATGAAAAGGGCTGTATAGGTATTTGGGGTGTGGTGGGCAAATTACCTTGAAGACTTGATTTTGAGATTTCAGAGTTTATATGCTGAAGAAAAAAAGCTTCACTTACTTTGCAGCCAAACCAGAGCATTCAGAATGCCTGAGGGATTTCAAGTGTAGAAAGTGAACACAAGTTGGCTTCTAGACTGTGGTTTTCTTTGCTGGACCTAAGACACCAGAGAGGAAGGCAAGGAAGGAAGGATATGGGCTTATGGAAACTGGTCATTGAGGTTATTGGAACTTGTAGGAGGGAATATCTACCCTTGTTACAAAGTCAGACTTCAGAAAATCATGGGCCTCAGAAGTGTCCCCTCGTCTTGAAAGCATATGGAGATAAAACTGTGTGAAGAACCTGCTTGTTATCTGGAATTTTCCATAAAATGGAGAGTGGAAGACAAGCAGAGTAGGTTTCCTCCTCCCCCCATACACCCATACCAATATTTTTGACTGTCTGCACTGGTACTTCTGCTGATAAAGAGTAATTTAGAGTTTGTCAGAGGTCTTCACTGCACACCTTTGGAGACCTGGTGTGTAGCTGCAACTTCATTTCATCAATAAAACCATTCACCACTGGTATATGATCAACCATAAATAGTAAATTGTAAATATTAGAGTTTAGAGATCACCTTCTATGAACACTGGGTGATCATACACCAGTGTTCATACAAAGTGATCTCTTAACTCTAATATTTACAAACACACAACTGTTGTCTGCTCTCTAGCTTGAAAAATTATTTCCAAGAGATTGCTTCTATTTATAACCCCCAGAAGAATACTGTAGCAGTCAGCTGCTTGCTTCTCTTACCATTAGCACTGAGCTGGGGTACAAATGATGACTCTGTAATTGTGAATTCCTGCTTTGAGGACTCTGAAAAATTGTAACCTAATTAAATAATTGCGGCGGTTATTGATTTTTCTTGACTATGTGTTTGCAGCTGAGAGTTACAAGGAAACCCAGATGGTAAAGATAAAGGAAGAACCAATGGAAGTTGACATTCGTGATTCACAGGCTTCAGTGTCCCCCAGCCAACCCAGCCAAAATGTTGCCTACAGCACTTTATTAGGGCGAGACGTTGGGGAACACCTGCAGAAGGCACCAGAAGGCCGTGTGCTCCCAGAGAGAAATCTATTCAGCCAAGATATATCAGTGAAGATGGCATCTGAGCTGCTCTTCCAGTTATCAGGTAAAAGAAGTTGAAGTCATCCATAGCTGAATTGTGAGAACAAAAAGAGGTGGTGTAGAACCATGAAGGTGTCATGAAAGCGTAAGATCGCTAAGGCTGAAAAATAATAGGGGTTAGAACCCTTCTACTCTCACATTTGGAACACAAAAGCCTTGCCAAATGTCCCCCATATTTAGCATATGCTTTAGAGCACTGTGACAGTCAGGTCAAGTTCAACATATTTGAACTGAATTGGAAAAGCCAGAGTTCAACTGCTGTATTTTTCCAAGCTAATTAAATAATTTGTGACGACTGGTTGATCCAGTCCTTGGCGTGGAAGGGAACCTAGGGATGGCATTTACTGGCAGAGGTGACCAGGGTCCTGCAGCTTGCAGTGCTCCTGGGGCTGCACTCTCCACCTCTGTTGACAAAGCAGGTGAACCTCAGCTGTTAGAGAAAGGCAATGGGCTCAACCCTGTTCAATGGATGCTTGTATTGCATGCCTTGCATGGAGCACTAAGGCTGAAAGATGAAGCTGGAAGAACCTGTTGGGGGTTAGTTTTACTGCAGTGAATTGCAAAAATGCTATAACCATTTCCCCTGTATTGCTCTGGATTATGCTCTTTCCAGTGAGCATTAAAATAGTTTTGCTGAATAAAACCCGAGAGGGGAAAATGTGATCTGTGCTAATCATAAACCCCCCCATGTATGTTCCTCTGCAGAAAAGGTCAGCAAAGAGCACAACCACAATAAAGATAATGCCCTCAGAACTACAGCCAGGTAAGTACAGTCCCTGGTTATCTGCAAAGCTGTGGTGTAAATGGCATTGCTTCCTTTTGCCTTGTGAGCAAAAAATTCTCTGTCTCCTGCAAACAGCACATGATAGGACAAGTGTAAGATATTTCCAAGAGTGATGGAACCTATATCTGAAAAATTACACCTATAGATCTGATGGTGCAGAGTTCATGGGCTCTGGGCCAGAATAACTGCTCTCCTCTGAGCAAATATTCATTTTAAGAATTATTTTTTCTATTTTTTTTTTCTACAAAACTGAAACTTTAAAAGAAACTGTATAGTACATGCAGTGCTTGAGGGAAGAACAGGCTGACAGCTGGATTTTAAGACCTGGACCAGTGTTAAGAAGAGGTGATTTTGACTCAGTCTTCTGTCATACTTGGATTTCTATAATAAAATTTCAATTTAGTATTTCTATCATCTCAATGCCTTCTCGAGGTGAATTTTGAAGTCAGACTGTAAGACAATGCTAATGAAACAATTTGCTAAAGATTACAGTCACGTTAATAACTTAAATTCAATTATCTGGGAATTAAAAACATGATCCAATTTAACAATATGCTGTTACAGAAATATGCACTTCACAGCAGTGTGGCTGGGAAGCAGCTGGTGAGTTGTTACATAGACATGAGCAGCAAAGTGAGGTGTCCCTGTGGGAGAATTCAGAGCTCATATGTAATCAGTGGCAGTTAGGATTGGTAAGAACTCAGGAGCCCATGGTAAGGAGTGGGCAGGGATTGGCAAGGGTACATCTCTTTCCTACCTGAAGGTTCCCTCATCAGTGTGGATGGGTTGGAGGCTGAGCACACTGGAGTGACCAAGAGTTCCTTAAAGATAGAACAAGACCTTCTGTGCCTCTGTATCCCCTTCTGCAGGAGTTCATGGCACGTTCAGTGCCTGCTAAGACAACTTTATGCAGACAGAAACTGAAAATCATTTCAGTTGCAGAAGAAAAGTTCTCTAAACTATGTTGCTCTTCAATTCCTAGGCGTATCCTATTCATTTTTGGTGACTATAATAAAGAAATAATTTGTTTTTAACAAAGTGGCCAGCTCAGTAAATGTACATAAGGGACTTTCTGACATTACAAGTTGAAGGATAATTAAATTGAGCTTCTAACTTCTGGCTACTGTGACTGCTTCCCATATTTGCTAGTCTGGGAATCTGTGGGGTGTGCAGCCTGCAGAGCCTTTCCATGACTATTTAAAAAGCATAAGCATAGGGAGTTAAATGCACCTATTGTCCAACTGCTCATTCATCCTCCCCTGTGCATTGCAGGGATGGGGTGACAGCCAGTTGAAAATAGATTTCAGTGTCTCATGATGGGCAGGACTGGTGTGAGACTCCAGAGCTACTTTTGGATCTATCAAAGATAATTCAAACTGCAAAGGTTGAGGACAGTTGAGAGATGACTTTCCCTTCTTCTGGCTGCCAGCTTTGAAGAAGGTAGCACAGTTGGCTGTTGTCAAAGTGGTGTGGAGTTTGTCTGAGAAGTCCTGATAATGGCTGCTACCCATCAGGGCATAAAGTGCTGAGTGTCTGGTTCAGTTCCTCCCTGTGCTTGTCTTGTCTTAACTATCAACAGAAGATGACACGAGTGAGAAGAGCTTCTTAAGGGGAAGTGAATCAGTCTACTAAATCCTTTGAGTTCAAACAGGTTGACATGAAAGACCTGGCCCAAAAAAACCCACCCCAAACCAAACAGACAGCTGGAAGTCTGTCACCTATCTGTTGCTATAACTCCTGTGAGTATTCCTGGACTTTGCAAACATCTACTTCCATATGACTTTGCTTAAACAGCCCAAACTGGCAAGAATTCCTCACAGTTCAGTGGCTGAGGGAGGTGGTAGAACCTGCCATCTGTGATAAGAAGACAGGAAGTGGAGAAGCAAATGATCTGGAAGTGAGTACGCCGACGTAAGATGCCAAGATGAGTTTCTTTCATCTGGAGAACTGTGCAGCCATAAAACTGGAACAGTGCCACCAGAAAAAAAAAAATCTTAAAGCCTAATCTTCGTCAGAAGGGACTTTGCACAGTGATTGAGAACAATTTATGTATTTTTTGACTGTGAAGCAGGAGCTCCTCTCTCCGTGCTTTGCAGTGGGAATTGGAGGACTTGTCTGCTGAAATAAGAATAATAATAGGGCCAACACTGAAGAAGGCAGAAAGGAGGTACCCAAGGATGGTTCTCTAATTCATCAGAGGCCAAGGGTGGAGAGGGAAATCCTTGGGACACAACATGATGCAGTCTTCAAGAGCAACCTGCCTGTGATGTGTGTCCTAGCCTGAAGTAGATAAGCTCTGCATCGTCCATTTGCTTAGAACCAGCAATGAGTAGTGCCCCAATCTCTGAATCTAAGGCACAAGCAAGAAGGCCAACATGGGAACTGGAATGGATTACAAGATTTTTGAAGGTTATAACAGTAATAAAACTTTTTTTTATTGGTGTTTTTCTTTCAAATCATTATTAAAGCAGTGAGAGGAATGTTGCAATAAATGATGCCATGTTTTTATACAGCGTCAGTCTGTTTTGTATTATGTCACCCCTGAGTGGGAGTGAGAGCCTTGGAAAAAGTTAAATTTTGCACATGTGTGCTGGAGCTGTTTGGCTTTATCCTGAGCACTGGTTTTCTTGAGCATTTGGCATAGCTTGGTCCTCTGAATCTGAACTGTTCAGATTTGGGGCAGCTTCACACCTTACCCTCCAGCACAACCTAACGCCGACTGGGGTTATGGTTACGTTCAAACCTTTGCAGAAATACCAAACTAGCCCATTAACTGCCACATATGGGACAGCACAAGATTAATAATGGCCAAAAACCTTAAGGAAGAATTAAATAACAGGATTGCCAAAAGTGTTGCATGATCAAGTTACCCCATTATCAGCAAGTTGCATCCTAAAGGCAGAAGAGATGTAAGAATGCAGGTGACTCAGTTGGAGAACACCTTGTTCATTCTGCAGATTAACTGTATGAGGGAAAACTTTTGCAAGTGCTGTTATTTAGATTGACACCTTGAGAATCTGGACTGTTCAGGTCAGCTTGGTTGGTGTTGTTGCCAAATACTTTCTGGGGCTGGAGTACCTACTGTGCAATGCTTTGTAAGACCTCATAGGATGTTATTTATCCTGAAAAGCTGCTTGGATTTTATTACTGGATAAGAACAGGCAGCAGAAATGAGCTGGCCTCCTGTCCTGCACCTTTAAAACACCCATAATAAACCAGCCTGTTCACAATTCTCAGTAGGAGAAATCAGAAATCCTGTAATTCTCATTTTGCTTAGAAGGAATAGTTTCCATGCAGATGGAATACACTGCCTTAGAAAACCATTTTCCAAGAAAGATTGTCCTTTTCTATTTTAAATCGTTGATGTGCCTCTTACTGATGTCTGTCTGTTCTGTAGGCAAGGAATTCTTGTTTCTATTTTGATCTTTAACTGAGCAGAAGGCAAAATACATTGACAGAAATGCCAATTCACTGTTGAAATGGGCTTTTTACTGCCTGTTAATTAAAACCAACACGTGCTATGCTTTTTGGAGTCCAGTAGCTGGCAATTTTTGCACCATTGATGTTAATGAAACGTATTGTATTGTGATTTAGCAGATTTCAGATGCTGAAATGTAGTTGAAAGCCTTTTGGGAGGATTTCAGTTGTCACTCTGAGGTGCAGTTTTATCAAAGCATGCCTCTTCTCCACACCCTCATGGTCTGCATATCTTTCAGCATGAACCCTGTAAATGAAACAGGGCTTTTAACAAGGAGATATTGGTTATAATATCAAGATATGAGGGTAAAAAACCCTATTTACTCCTCCTGTTAACCACTTGCTATTTTGTTTACAAAAAGACATCTTATTTTTTCCTGTAGCCCTTTCTTTTCTGAAGACTCCTTTAGACAATCACCGTTCACTTCCAACTCAAAAGATCTCCTGCCTAATGAAACTACTCTTCATGGAAGGACATCTGCACCAGGTCAGAGACCTTTTTCTTCCATTTCTTCTTGTTAATAGATCTCTTTAAAAAATTTCCTTCCTGTAAACTCCACCACCTGACCAATGCTCTTTAAATTCTAGTTTGCTTTGTCAAAACCCAACTCTCTCTCCATTGCAGGAAGTGGTTACTATTAGGAAGAAAAAAAATTAAGTGTCACTGAAGCATTTGTGTTAATAGTCTTTAAACTATTTCTGTGAATTGCACGAGTCTATAATGGATTAATCTCAGCAGTATTAACAGAGGTGAGGGGGTTTTGTGTGTGTATCTCCCATGTGTAGAGGAATGATGTTGATGTTGGATCAACAGCAGCCTTTTTGGAAGGATGTGGGGTTCTTAAAACATACTGAAAGGTTCATATTCTGCATTAAAATGGAAAATATTAGGCATGTAACAATGCTATTCAAGGTAGCACTGAACACATGCAAAAATGTGATATGTGCCTTTGCTGTCCTGTTGCAAAATAACTCATTGGCTAGTTCACTGCTATCTCCTCTTAAATTAATAGCTTTTGGGTTCTAAAGGTCAGTAATTACACAGCCAGCCTTAGGGGGGGTTGTTCACCTTTTCTTAGCAATCAATAAAGTTTTGGGCACGTTACTGCTAATTTTCAGCTATAGACTGTCATTTAATTCAGAGCTTAACAGACCCTTCATTTTTTTTAATGCTTGATTAGTCATTTGACAGCTTGTGAAGTGGCAGATAAGGTTAAGAGCTACATGTTGTTTAAAGGTAGCATTTTGTCTAGGCACAGGAGAAGGAACAAAATTTGTAGCATAAGGCTGAGGGTCTTCAGAGTAGCCTCAGCCACACTTTTGCCAGGAACTAGTGGATTTTGTAACTCCAGGCCAGGACAACCAGATCAGGTGTGGTGCTTTTAAGTATTAAAACTTAAACCAGGTTAGCACTTCAATCCTGGCTTTTGACCCAGGCATAACATGGAATATTCATACACCCAGATGAAAGATGAGAACTCTTAGACTCCTGCAGCAGTGCTTGATACCTCAGAGGACATGGCCTCTAGCAGCAATACTCTTACATCACACCAAGATGAATGTATAAGAATTTTAATTCACTGCAAGACTTCATCTGAAGCGAGGCCGCTAAAACGGTCGATGGGTTTTGGTGACAGGTTTAATCTTTGACTTAAAAGATGTAAAGCATCCAGTTGCTGAGGACATCCTGGACTGTTAGAATGGCTTCTGAAGAGCTTGGGGTTTGTACATTTGTGCTGCCCCATATTCTGCCTTCTGGAATGTTAGTATCACCATGATAAGTCTGTGTATTAGAATATATATTGCTCTGGGAGTCTAAGACTGATATGTAAGAGCAGCATGTATACTGAAAATCAAAAATGTGAGTTTCAGCTTCATTTTTATTTTTGGAACAACCCTGTCATTCCAAATATGTTGATTTTTCTCAGCTTCATAATAAATTCTTGGGCCTGAAGTGCAGCTTCACAGTATCACCAGGAACATGATTTAAATTTTTAATCAACAGCAAATGTGATATTCATGCAAAAGAACAGCAGAATACCCACAGGTAGAGCTCCTACTAGTTCCAGCCTTGCAAAAAGAAATAGTTTATGTTGTGCTATGGATAGCTCAGAGCAATATAAAGGAGCAGTAACAAACCATTGTGAAGGCCAACAGGGTGTAACAGAAGATGCTGTGGAGATGTGTATGTGGTGTCCCATGGATAAATGGCAGATATGGCTTCACTTGAGATTTGCTTTAGGTTATTTCACCCCTGAAACAGGATAGTAAGAAGTAGAAAAGAACAGTGTAAGAAACTGAGAGGAAATTCCCAGTCCAGTGTCATCTTCAAGCCATCAACTAAAACCCAAGCTGCTAATGGCCAAAAGTGTTCATTAAGCAGTGCCCATATTAAAAAGAAATGCAACTCTGTGCCACTCACCACGGCTGGCAGAGTCTGATGGGCAAGTGTGGGGCCTGAGCTGCTGCTCTGGGCTGGCTCTCTGCACCTCAGGCAGCAGAGTGGCATGGGGCACCCTTCGCTGCCAGCTGCTCTGGGTGGCCTTGGTGGAACCCCATGGACTGAGAGTGCTTCTTTCCAAGAGAGCACCAGCATGGGTGGCTGTTTCCCCAGACTCCTGCCAACTTTCTGTCTGCAGACTTCTTGGCACCTTAGCTGCAGAGGAATTGGGGAAAGTGACAGGGAGATAGGACAGGAAGATATCTCATGTGTCAAATCCAATTCCTTTCTAGACTAGGTAACGACATTACATAATCTCATTCGTCATAAAGATCCATCTTAAACCTATCATCATTCCTGTGTGAGGACACTGTTTCAGAAGCTCACCCCTTTGGAGGGCTGGGGCCACTCTTTTCAGCCTGGGTTTACTCACAGCAAGTTCTACTTTTGTTGTTCCACCAATGCTGTGCTTCAGCTTCAAGAATTCTTTTCCCTTGTGGTGTTCACTATCTGATGTGCCATATTCCATCCCCCAAATCCTGTCTTTATTTTGGAAAAGTAAGGCAGCCAGTGTCTTTTAGGCTCTTTTAGTGTGATAGGATTTCCATTTCCTCACCAACATCATAACCTTTTTCTGCCTCTGTTTAGGGAAATTAATTTCTGCCAATATGAATAGTTGGAACTACACATGCTATTTTACAGGTCTTACTAATGACTTTTTCAGTGGCATGAAGTCTTCTCCATATAGATTTGAAATATCTTGCTTGATTAATCAGTCTTTGAAGCTACAACATGCCCATGAGTCTTGGTTTGTTTGCTAATCAAATAGTAATGTGTCTTTCTTCTCTTTTACAATTTGAGCTGATGATTTCAGCAGGCAACAGAAATTCTTCTTCCTACTTTTGAGGCATGTGACCTTGTAATTTGAATATTTCTTTAATACCCTGAAATTTCTGCATATTGGCAATACTGCTTTTTGAGCTGATGATTTCAGCAGGCAACAGAAATTCTTCTTCCTACTTTTGAGGCATGTGACCTTGTCATTTGAATTGTTTCACTTGTTATTCCAGCTCTCAAGATTGTTTCTTTAATACCCTGAAATTTCTGCGTATTGGTGATACTGCTTTTATGAATGCAATGCTGGTTTTTTATTCTTTATTTCTATAACAATAGCAAAATAACCTTTTTTTTTGGCCTAGCAAGAGGTAGGGGGAAGAAATCCAAATGTTCATTTCACACGGTCACTTTAAAAGGGCATTTTTATCTTCTGTTTTATAAGACTCTTCTTGTGACAGAATAGAGTTTAGTTTTACATCAGACTATGCAGTGCAGTCCAGATTGCTAGATAAATTAAAAACTTGATCTTATGCTGGTGTTCCTGACCCTGAGCCAATCTTTAATGTGTTTGAATAGTTTTCCACTGTCTCACTGAGTCGTTCTGTAAATCAAACCTGCCTTCATGAAATCCAGATGAGTGATATTCCCTGTTCCTTTTCTGGTCAGTTCATTAATATTGGCAAAGGCTCCAGCCATGGGGCCTGGGGATTATGTTTTCTCCATGTATATCTCTGTGCAGGATAAAAATATTTCATTGTTTCCTCTCCTACTCACCAAGGACCCCAAATTCTCCTTCATTTACATTGACAGTGCCAAATATTAAAACCATCTCATCTGTAGAGGATTAGATTGGTTGTTTTTTTTAAAAAAAATATATCCATCTTTTTGTGAAAATTTACAACTTCTTGCAAAACTGCAATTTTGATTGTGGTAAGTGAATTTCACGTGGCTAAAATAGACTTTTAGAAGTGGAGAGTGTAGGTTTTGGGGAGCTGTAGTCCATAACCAGCCTTGGCTTTTAAAATTTTGCCCATTGGTGCCAGAGTTAAAATTACCATTGTTGTTTATTTCAATGAAATGAAGCCAATGAAGCTTCTGTGCATTTGGAACTGCAGGATTATTCAGGAGATGTGCAAGTTTCTCCTGTGTATACTCACACCCTCCTTCCACCTCTCTAAACTGGTCATTCCTCTGGATCTTTAATGTGCTTAAAGAGGAAGATCTGCCTGCTTCCTGGGCCCCATCTTTGCATGTTCTTTGGCAGTTTCACATGTTGCATGTGAAATTTCAGCACTGCTGTGACTGACCACACAGCCTTGTTTACTTTCCTCTATGAGTGTAGCTGAAAAATACCTCTGGAGGGTTTAGATTTTAACTTAAACATGATGAACAGTCAAATTGTTTGTGTTGCACAGCTACCACATTCTTTAGTAGTCTGTATTTTGCATGTCTTCCTTCCTAATCCCTTTTTAAAGACACTTTATGGTCAGTATACCTCTTGATGTGTAATTTTGTGTAGCTCAAAGCATCTAGAAAGTAGACAGCAAGAGTTGTTTTGGTCCAGCCTACAGACATAGTCATTCATTGATACTGTTTTCCAGCAGTATTTGTGCCTGACTCTGGTCTCCTGTGCTCTGCAGTGAACTAAACTTCCACAACCATCTACAGCAACCAGCTTGGAATTTTGAGGTTAGTTAAGAAAGTCAGGACTTTAATAAATTGCATATGAGGTTAGAGTGACTCCAACTCTAGTTTCTACTTCTTCCCAGGTTGCCAGTGACAGTTTTCCTTCTTGATCTCTTGCATCCTGCTGCCAGCCTTCCTACAGCTGACTCTGTAGGGGACTGTGGGTACTTCTGTCACCCTGGAAAATGTCCTTGGGACTTGGGGGGTTGTGAAATTCAGGACAGCAGAACCTGTGGATTTGTGTTTCTGAGAGTATCACAGTGTGGCTGAGGTGGGAATTGTTGTTGCACCCCCTTCCTCAGAGCAAAATCAGCTCGTTGCTCACGACTGTCCAGTCAGATTTTGGATATCTCTAGGGATGGAGACTCTCTCTGGGCAACCTGTGCCAGTTTTCTTAGGTTTCAATGGAATTTCCTGTGGTTTAATTTGTGCTGCTGATTCCTTTCTACTGAGCATCACTGAGAAGAGGTTGACTTCATCATCTTTTTGCCCCCCACCAGGTTCAAAAGGTCCCACCAAGCCTT